AGAGTAGCTTAGGCTATTTCAACCCCCCTCTAATTCAAGTCCCTCAAGGGGCGCACAAATACTGTGACTACAAATAGACAAATAACATTACAAGAATCCAAACAAGAATTGTGAACCCTATACTCACAGGATGAATATAGGGTACACAATAAACTACCACTCACATCATGGGTATGGGTTGCACAAGAAACTATCGCGCAGAGGATGAATATGGAGAGCAAAGTAAACAAAGATTCACACGATGAGAAAGGGTTTCGCAATGTCCTATGACTCACAGAATGAGTATTAGCTGCACAATAAACTACAGGTCACAGGATAAGTATGGGTTGCACAATAAATTACAGGTCACAGGATGGGTATGGGCTGCACAAACTACCGGTAACAGGATGAGTATGGGATGCACAATAAATTACGGGCCACAGGATGAGTATGGGTTGCACAAACTACTGGTAACAAGATGAGTATGGGATGCACAATAAATTACCGCACAGAGGATGAGTATAGGGTGCACAAACTGGTTGGGTAAATGGAAATGATTGGGTACATTTCCTTTCACCTAATGCGACTATTCATGTGTCCGGACATGAAATATGGTCACCTGGAGAGTGTTTGCTGGCATATCAGCCTCCTGTACAGTGTTCCAATTGTCGCCCCTAAATCAACACAACGACAACACAGTGATTCAGTCGTCGAACTTCTTTGCTCAAATAGTCACAAATTTAATTGATGAAATCAACAAGTAAAATGCGTATTTATAAAAATATCTAGCACAAATAGCCACAAAACATTTACTATTTATTTTAAAAAAACGTGTATGGAAGTTAAATGAACTCCATAGGACAATAGTTTTGTTATAAGGATAAAACAGTTTACAAGCATGAAAACTTCATAATCAACTGCCGTTATTGTTATAAACAGCCTCCTGGTGCTTCGGAGCTCCTTAACTGTTTAATAATTGTAAACAAAGCCGCCAAAAATTGAGAAAAAATGTACAGGCTCGTAAATGCTTGCGTAACTGCTTCGTGAATCTGGCCCCAGGATGCGAACCCTGGACAATGATCAAGTTATTGCATGATTATTATTGACCTCACTCAACTGAATCTAACCTGCTTTCACTAATTGGCATATTTTCTGCATAGATCGAAAGTCGTAATTTCAAACAGCAAATATGTACAGTGAGCCGGAACTCGGCTTCCCCCCCCCCCCCAACCCCCCCAAAAAAAACGCTCATGAGTCTGATTTACGATATTACTGATATTTTGAAAACTGCAGGGGGGGTTTGGGCAAAATGTGACCCATCCCCGATTTCAGTAAATGACATATTTTCGGTATAAAAAGTCGTAATTACAAATTGCAAATATGTGCAAAGACCCAGAATTTGGCTCCAAAATATGGCTCGGCAGTCAGATTTGGGATATTTTGAAAACTGCAGGGGGGTTTGGGCAAAATATGACCCATCAAAGATTTCCGTAATTGGCATATTTTTGGTATGAAAAGTCGTAATTTGAAAATGAAAATGAATAGGTGCAGAGAGTCAGAATTCGGCTCAAAAATCACGCTCATGAGTCAAATTTCCGACATTTCAAATATTTTGAAAACTGCATGGGGGTTTGGGCAAAATATGACCCATCGCCGTTTTCAATAATTCGCATATTTTCTGAATAAAAAGTCGTAATTTGAAAATGAAAATAGGTACAGAGAGTCAGAATTCGGCTCAAAAATCACGATCAGAAGTCAAATTTCCGACATTTCAGATATTTTGAAAACTGCAGGGGGGTTTGTGCAAAATATGACCCATCGCTGTTTTCAGTAATTAGCATATTTTCGTTATGAAAAGTCGTAATTTGAAAATGAAAATAGGTGCAGAGAGTCAGAATTTGGCTCAAAAATCACGCTCAGAAGTTAAATTTCCGACATTTCAGATATTTTGAAAACTGCAGGGGGGTTTGGGCAAAATATGACCCATCGCTGTTTTAAGTAATTGGCATATTTTCAGTATAAAAAGTCGTAATTTGAAAATGAAAATAGGTGCAGAGAGTCAGAATTCGGCTCAAAAATCACGCTCAGGAGTCAAATTTCCGACATTTCAGATATTTTAAAAACTGCAGGGGGGTTTGGGCAAAATATGACCCATCGCCGTTTTCAGTATTTGGCATATTTTCGGAATAAAAAGTCGTAATTTGAAAATGAAAATAGGTGCAGAGAGTCAGAATTCGCCTCAAAAATCACGCTCAGGAGTCAAATTTCCGACATTTCAGATATTTTGAAAACTGCAGGGGGGTTTGGGCAAAATATGACCCATCGCAGTTTTCAGTAATTGGCATATTTTCGGTATAAAAAGTCGTAATATGAAAATGAAAATAGGTGCAGAGAGTCAGAATTCGGCTCAAAAATCACTCTCAGGAGTCAAATTTCCGACATTTCAAATATTTTGAAAACTGCAGGGGGGTTTGGGCAAAATATGACCCATCGCCGGTTTCAGTAATTGACATATTTTTGGAATAAAAAGTCGTAATTTGAAAATGAAAATAGGTGCAGAGAGTCAGAATTCGGCTCAAAAATCACGCTCAGGAGTCAAATTTCCGACATTTCAAATATTTTGAAAACTGCAGTGGGGTTTGGGCAAAATATGACCCATCGCCGTTTTCAGTAATTGGCATATTTTCGGTATGAAAATTCGTAATTTGAAAATGAAAATATGTGCAGAGAGTCAGAATTCGGCTCAAAAATCACGCTCAGGAGTCAAATTTACGACATTTCAGATATTTTGAAAACTGCAGGGGGTTTGGGCAAAATATGACCTATCGCTGTTTTAAGTAATTGGCATATTTTTGGAATAAAAAGTCGTAATTTGAAAATGAAAATAGGTGCAGAGAGTCAGAATTCGGCTCAAAAATCACGCTCAGGAGTCAAATTTCCGACATTTCAAATATTTTTGAAAACTGCAAGGGGGTTTGGGCAAAATATGACCCATCACCGTTTTCAGTAATTGGCATATTTTCAGTATAAAAAGTCGTAATTTGAAAATGAAAATAGGTGCAGAGAGTCAGAATTCGGCTCAAAAATCACGCTCAGGAGTCAAATTTCCGACATTTCAAATATTTTGAAAACTGCAGGGGGGTTTGGGCAAAATATGACCCTTCGCTGTTTTAAGTAATAGGCATATTTTCGGTATGAAAATTCGTAATATAAAAATAAAAATAGGTGCAGAGAGTCAGAATTCGGCTCAAAAATCACGCTCAGGAGTCAAATTTCCGACATTTCAAATATTTTGAAAACTGCAGGGGGGTTTGGGCAAAATATGACCCATCGCCGTTTTCAGTAATTGGCATATTTTCGGTATGAAAATTCGTAATTTGAAAATGAAAATAGGTGCAGAGAGTCAGAATTCGGCTCAAAAATCACGCTCAAGAGTCAAATTTCCGACATTTCAAATATTTTGAAAACTGCAGGGGGGTTTGGGCAAAATATGACCCATCGCCGTTTTCAGTAATTGGCATATTTTCGGTATGAAAATTCGTAATTTGAAAATGAAAATAGGTGCAGAGAGTCAGAATTCGGCTCAAAAATCACGCTCAGGAGTCAAATTTCCGACATTTCAAATATTTTGAAAACTGCAGAGGGGTTTGGGCAAAATATGACACTTCGCTGTTTTAAGTAATAGGCATATTTTCGGTATGAAAATTCGTAATATGAAAATGAAAATAGGTGCAGAGAGTCAGAATTCGGCTTAAAAATCACGCTCAGGAGTCAAATTTTCGATATTTCAGATATTTTGAAAACTGCAGGGGGGTTTGGGCAAAATATGACCTATCGCTGTTTTAAGTAATTGGCATATTTTCGGTATAAAAGTCGTAATTTAAAAATGAAAATAGGTGCAGAGAGTCAGAATTTAGCTCAAAAATCACACTCAGGAATCAAATTTCCGACATTTCAAATATTTTGAAAACTGCAAGGAGGTTTGGGCAAAATATGACCCATCGCCGTTTTCAGTAATTACCATATTTTCGGTATAAAATGTCGTAATTTTTAAAATGAAAATTGGCGCAGAGAGTCAGAATTTGGCTTAAAAATCACGCTCAGGAGTCAATTTTCCAGCATTTCAGGTATTTTAAAAACTGCAGGGGGGTTTGGGCAAATTGTGACCCATCGTCGTTTTCACTAATTGGCATAACAATATCAGAAATATCGCAAATCTGACACATAAGTGTTTTTTAGCCAAATTCTGGCTCACTACACATATTTGGAGTTTGAAATTACAACTTTTTATACCGAAAACATATATGCAAATTTGTGAAAACGGCGATGGGTCACATTTTGCCCAAACCCCCCTACAGTTTTCAAATAATCAGAAATATCGCAAATCTGACTCATGAGCGTTATTTTTTAGCCGAATTGTGGCTCACCTCACAAATTTGGAGTATGAAATTATGACTTTCTATACCGAAATTATGCCAATTAGTGAAAACGTTGATGGGTTTCCTTAATTTTCAAAGAAAATCCCCGAAAGGGATTTTCTGAAAAGGAGTTTCATTGGTATTCATAATGCATTTGCCAGTTCCTTTACGACTTTGGATTGAAATACATCCATACTTGGTACTTTTGAGTCTTTTAGTGTGTCAATGCTTTTGCTGATTGTGTCGAATGTAATGGGTATATCCCTTAACTCATTATCTTCACCTCCTTCAAACATTTGTGTGGGTTATGGGATGTCGTTCAATCTTTCTAGTGTGAACACTGATGTAAAGTATTCATTCAGAGTGCTTGTTGCCTTTTTATCATACAATATAACAATATATACCCGGCTGCACCTGGGTCTTCTTCACCTTTTTTCCAGCATTTCCCCTCCAATGTACGTCCCTGACCCCAGACTATTCCCCATACAAAGTTGGGTGAAGCTAGCCCCAGTTAAGTGTCAGAGACACGGACATATAAACAGACGAGCAGACAGGTTCTCTCTTATAGTATAGATTGTTATGAGCAAGGTGTAGGGGGTGTGTGAGGAGCGGCGCCATGTGGTGAGGCGCGGCAACTGCAAGCCGTGAGGCCCCGGGCCGACCGCTGGGGCGTCATTGGACGGTGTGTGTGTGGGAAGTACACGGTGCTGTTGCTGGTGCTGCTTCTGCTGCTGGGTCCCTGGCTCCTGCTCGCCTCCCTACGGCTGGTATGTTCCTCGCTTCATATTCATTAGTGTCCAATCGCCCCCCTGAGGATCCCTCGAGGGACTCTTGGAAATTGCAGGAAACTAGCCTCTGTGAAATCCGTTCTGTGGTTCTCATTGTACGGCAAGATTGTTGACATTTTGAAATAGACTGGTATAGTCTATAGTGAAGTCTCTATATATGTGATAGTGCGGCATGATGTGTTCATCTCTGGTGTGGGTCACCGCACATAGAACACCAAAACTTGACGTTACAAGATAGTGCAGAAGAAACGGTATAGTGAACAACTTTTGCATTGATCGAAAGATTCAAGTTTGTATTGTAGGCTTTGATAAATAATGCAGCTATTCCTCCTGTTTTGGCAGGACTTATAGTATCAATGAGGACCATAGTATATATGTATACATATATATTGGTGCATACTGGCAGCAGGTTTTCTTTCAAACATGTTTCATTGAATATGACCGCATATTCTGTATTTATTATTTTCTGGTTTAGGGCTTCTATCCCTCTATTTTCTTAGCATCAGGGCTTAATTGAAATAGGAGTTCTCCAAAACTCATTTTCGTACTTTTAAGGTGAAGAAAAGAAGTGATTTACTATAGAGTGTATTACACTTATTTGTATAATTTGCACGACGTTTCGAACCTCCATGGTTCATTCTCAAGTGAACAGATCTTACAATACTACAATTACAATACTAGTATTGTAAGATCTGTTCACTTGAGAATGAACCATGGAGGTTCGAAACGTCGTGCAAATTATACAAATAAGTGTAATACACTCTATAGTAAATCACTTCTTTTCTTCACCTTAAAAGTACGAAAATGAGTTTTGGAGAACTCCTATTTCAATTAAGCCCTGATGCTAAGAAAATAGTTAGAGGGATAGAAGCCCTAAACCAGAAAATAATAAATACAGAATATACATATATATATATGTATATACATATATATATATATATATATATATATATATATATATATATATATATATATATATATATATATATATATATATATATATACCGACGTACAACAATATTAGAACGTAGAAATCTGAACTGTTGAGTTGGACAAACTGGAAAACTATTTTTTACTTGTGTTGCTTTGACAAACTAAACTAACCTAACCTTCCCAGGCCTAATTAATACACGATATCTGAGGTCTAATATAGTACATGTGTGTCCTATACTAGGCCTAGGAATATTTAAGTTTGTGTTTTAGCTTCATTTATTTTAAAAGAATTCTTTAATAATCAGTATACTACTATCTAAAAGCTTAGTACGTACGATTTCGTGACGAAACAGGAGAGTCGGTTGTTTATAATGACATTATAATATGTAGGCTTTGAATGTCATAAAAATTCTTACTGAAAAAATCATATTTAGGAACACCGATGTTAATTTATATTTCAAGCTGAAATCTGAAATTACCATCAGCGGTTCTTTAATAGGCCTATGTTTTATTTACATTACCGGTGAATTAGGTGCATTTTCAGAGTGAGCGCAACACAGCCCATGTTAGAATTTGGTTGATGTCCAATATTAAGAATGTTATATATTTATAATAGATGGACAGGCTTAAAATAAAAGCAGATAATGTAAAGGTAAATATTACAATCAATGCTAATATAGAAGTACACAGTTTTATACCCAAATAATTCCTGCGGGGATGTGCCAATCATAGGCTTGCACGCATCTAAGTTTCCCATGCGTGGATTGGTAGGTTAGGTTCGGGTAATTTAGTATATTTCAACCTTCCTTACCCGTCACAACCTTCCCTACCCGTGCAGCCGTTCTTCAAAGGTTTCCCAACGTCAATAATACACTGCTCCTATCTTAACCTACCAGAGGACAGTGTGCCAATTTCAAGAGCTACTACCACTTTCTAGTACGACAATTTTTGGCCTTAATGTATACGTCAAAATGCGACGTTCTATTAGGAGGACGGGTTGGTTGGACGTTCGAGGTTAGACATCAAACTGCAGGGTGACTTACCTTCGTCCGGGAAAACTGGTATAGCCGGGTCAGTGTCGAATGGCGCCTTTTTTCCCCCCGATTCTCTGCATGAAATGACTCGGTATTAGTTTCTAAAGTCGCTAAATACCAGACTCCATCCTCGGTAAAATTCATTTAGCATGTTATTTTCTACATGATTATATATGTATTTCTTTTGTGTGTTTATTTAATAAGACTGTTTAATAAAAATGGTTACTAGGCTGAAGGAAATTGGTGTGGTAGATTAGGATAAGGACACACTAGTACGACAGTTTCTTGACGTTGGGAAACATTAGGACGGGCTGAACAGACAGACATTGTCTTGTAGTGATACAGATTAGTATATTTTAGCAACAATCGTTGTTGATGACGTGTTAATGAATATGATAAATTGTTAGATCATTGATTCTTGAACGAATATTCTCAATTTTCTTATGTTCTTCACTTTAGAAGGAAGTTAGTTACATTTCAAAGTTTATTTTACAGCTTTATTATGACCTGACACTAAGAGATGCGTTTCGATGAGCCCCGTGAACATTTTCAAAGGCAGAGGGGGAGTGGGTATAGTTAAGTTGTTTTAGATTTAGCTACTCAGAACGAAATGTCCATGTAGCACGGGCTATAGTGACCCCGTAAAGATATAAGTTAACTGGAACAACATAATACATAACTAAGAAGGATGAGATGAAGTAAGGTGTTACCCCAGTCAGTGATGAATAACATAATACTTAAGGAAAATACAGGTATTTTGGCCTGTAGGACGCAGCTGCTGGGTCAAGTGTGTGCTGGCTGCTGATGTTTGTTTCATATGTAGTGCTTTGCCGATGTTTGATGTTTTGTATCTGTTTTGATACAATTTCATTTCCGTGTTTTGGTCCGGATATCTGTGATAATCAGGTTGTGTGTAGAAAGTATATGTTCTACGCAACTAGATCATGGTGGTGTATTTGGTTGTGTCTGGTACTGTGGTACCCGCAGTACTCAGGTGGTGGGGCTGGTGGTACCAGCAGTACTCAGGTGGTGGGGCTGGTGGTACCCGCAGTACTCAGGGGGCGGCAGCATGTGACCCTGGCCGCCAGAATCGACAACATCCGGAAGTGTGTGGATATTCATGATTGCTCCGGCTGAACTAGGCTACTCTGCTGTAAACTTTCGTGGAAAACTTTTATTTATGGGTTCTTTTCGGTGTTGTTTTGTATGGAACTTTCAGCAAAATTTAAGCTAAAAGATTGCCGATATTTGCAATAAAGCAATTCACACGGGTCTATATTACTATGGACATACAAACTTAGCAGACGCATTCAAACGAGTTCTCTGATAGGTGTTATAATCCTGATATTCAAGTTGAATATGTCGAGTATCGAACTGACTTGTATTTACACACGAAGTTTCGACTAATTGATGAGTCTTGAGAAGTTTTCTAAGGACCAAATGAGTCGGTAAGATATATCTCCTAAATTTGATAAGATTTATGTGACCTAGTGGTGCAATAAATTCTCCCCCCCCCCCCTTACGTCCAGACGGCAGTTCCGAACTGCCACACGGCCGCCCAGTACACACCCACCTGTTACCCATACACTCCCACCTGTTACCCATACACCACGCCTACCCAACCTACCGTCACCACTTGACAGCTGTGGCGGTGACCGTCGCTTGACAGCTGTGGCGGTGACCGTCGCTTGACAGCGGTGGTGGTGCAGCCCCCACAAGGTGAATGTCACACCTGCAGCCCTGAGGTAATTTATGCTAATTTATGCACCAGATAACGGAAGATAAAGGAGGGAACACGGGCGTGTGTCTGTCTGTCTGTATTTACTATTTATATTTACTATTTGTATTTGCAGAATCGAGCTATTAGCTCTTGGATCCCGCCTTTCTAACCAATTTAATTTTCCTCTATGACTAAGAGGAAATTTTTTCGTCTTTTTCCTCTATTTTTCTTCTTTGTCTACATATATTTCTTTCACGCGCGCGCGCTCATACCCAGGAAGCAGCTGTCTAACTCCCAGGTTCCTATTTATTGCTAGGTATACAGGGGCACTAGGATGAAAAACTGCCCATTTGTTTCTGCCGGGGATCGAACCCGGTCCCTAGGATTACGAGCCCCGAGCGCTGTCCACTCAGCTACCAGGCCAACTCACCTAGAGTGAGGCGCCTCGGCCAGGCCAAGTCCAGAGGACCTTCTCCCAGGTGCTTGGGTTCATTCATGTGCTGGAGTATCGTACGTTGTGATACTACGTGTTGTGTCTGGCCAGTTCATCACGGGTGCAACAATGGGGTCTGCAAGCAACTTCATATAAAGAAGTTAGCAAAGTTTACAATGAAACAAATGACGATTCGAATTTACAAAGCTGCGTAAACACGAGAGTTTTTGAGGATAAAACTTTCATATTTTCAAAGAGTATCGGCCGGACCGGCTTCCAATGTGTGCGTGGAACTGAGCTAGGTAGATATATAAGGTTTGTGCTCGTGTGGCTGGTAATATACTGATGTTGTTTTGCTGTGGGCTTCATATAAGGCACAACATCTGGACGGGGAGCTGGAGACAGGTTAGCCTGGCAGGTGGTGCAGCTCTCAGTACACCAGGTGTGTTTACGTCATGATGTGATCGAAGCCTGACGCTGGTCCCCCACCCCTGCTTACCTTATTAATCACCTCTCTTCCGTCTCTTTTTTGTTTTCCTCAGTTTCACTCGTCTCATACTGTCTCTCCCACTTTTTCGTAATATACATTGTTCCTCGTTCCCACTCCTCTCAAACGTTGTTTCTCTATCCCGTCCACTTCTCTCCAACGCTTTCATTTTATTTTTTTCTGTCCCTTAGTCGTCGTTGTCCTCACTTCCGCTACCTCAATCTCTCTCCCCAATGTTTACGTCCGTCATTCCCAGGGATAGAGTACATTAGAGCTTGAGGGAGTATTCTTGCTACGCGCTCCGCCCCCGTTCCCACTAGTCCAGTTCGCTCCAGTTACCTCTATTTTGTCAATACTGTACGTTGGTGCCTT